CGGGTGGAACATGTACCCAAAGTTGAACTTCTCTTTTTTTTTTTCTTTTTTTTTTTGTTTACAAACGATTTTATTGTATGAAAGTAGACAGTAAAACAACAGCACATTTTCAAATATAACTTTCAGCAATAACAAGGCACTTTTGAATAGTACAATACAGAAAAGTATATTAATGTAGAAAGAAAAGGAAAAGAGAGAGAAAAGAAAAAAAACAAAATTAAGATTGCAGGAACATGAAATGTGTAAACGATGAGGTAGATTAAATGATACATCTGTCAACAATATATGCCATTCAACTTTCACTGGGAATGTTATTAATCATGCAATAAATGTCTACATTCCCTCAACGACTCCCATTTTTAATCAAATAAGTGCATCTTATCTAGTAGGGTATAATGAATGCGTTCCATGAGCATTACAGTATCAATTCTGTGTAAAACGGAGGCCAAGGGTACAGCATTGGACTTCCAATGCAAGGCAATAGACCATAAAGTGGCAATACATATAGTATGTATCAATCTCATAATGGCATCAGAGACCCCCGGGATATGAGCCCCCAGTAAGCAGGTCTGCATAGACAATCGTAGCTGGGTACCCACCAATGAGGTAGCCACCTCAGATATCCTGCACCAAATCACAGATACTATCGGGCAATCCCAAAATATATGAACCAAAGTTCCCGTAAGGCCACAGCCCTGGAAACAGAGGGGGGACTTTTGTGGGAACAATACATGTAGTCTTGATGGTGTATAATACCATCTGGTCAAAATCTTAAGGGCCGCCTCACGAACAGAAAGGGATCTAGAGCACTTACATATGTTATCCACCATGGAATCCCAATCCTCATCCGAAAAGGTGACGCCACTATCCTCCCATTTTTGTCTGTATAAAGGGGGTGTATGAGAGAGACAAGTCAAAGATTGATGATAAAGATCAGAAATAAGACCCCGAACTTCTCTTTTAAACCGTTCTACAGCACTGGTTACAAATCTCAAAAAATTGGCAAAACACTGTGATTTTTCAATTACATATTGATTCCATCCAAATGACGGCTGGCGTGGGAATGGAACCACGGTAGATGTAGAATGCAGTAGAGGTGCTCACTAGTCTTCAACAGAAGTATGTGTCCAAGGAGTTTACTCTGTCCAAAATTTCGAGTGATCTTGGTCCATCTTTGTAAAGGCCTTGGACACCTTCTCCTGCTCAAAACCTGTGAGTGCCTTTACTACGAGATTAGTGAGATATAGATGTCACAGTGCAAGAACTATCGGTTGTCTTCAGAAAACGGTGGACCATTTCTTGGAGGTGATGTCATTGCTTATGCATGGTACTTGTGCCTTCTCACCAGCTACTCAACCGTACCATGGAGTTGATTTACTAAAATTGGAGAGTGCTAAATTTGGTGTAGCTCTGCATAGAAACCAATCGGCTGCCAGGTTTTATTATGAAAGCTTGATTGAACAAGCTGAAGTTAGAAGCTGATTGGCTACCATGCACAACGGCACCAGATCTTTCACTCTCCAGTTTTAGTAAATCAACCCCATGTCTCTGTATTGGGAGTTCCTCTTTAGGTTTCCTGTATATGCTGTATACCAGCTTTGATTTCCAACAGTTTCTTTTACAGTTGAGTGTCAGCCTGCTAAGCATGTTTTTTTTTGAATATTGATCGATCAATTGATTAACTTTGTAAATGTTACACCATCCTAAGAGCAATCAGCTTGCTCAGTCGATGATGCTCTATAGACAGCTGTTTTTTTTTAAGCTTTATACATTTTCATTTATTTGGTTAATGTTATGCGGTTTTATATTTGAATGTCATTACCTGTTTGTAGTTGGCTGTAAAACTTTACAAAAAGCTGCCTGTAGTCGATGCTGTGACCCAGAAGTGACCTCTTCTGCTCTGGTTCAGTTCTGCAGATAAAACTGGGACATTAATTAGTTTACTCTCCTAAATGAAAGGGCACCAGCATAGGAATCTCTCTCCATTAAGTGTCTCCATATTGAACGTCCAGCTTTTGTCTAGCTGGAGACGCTGCAAATGAGTTTCCCTAATGAGCCATCAGCCTCATGGGGACAGTTATGCATTGGCGGAGTGTGAAGGCAGCCTAATGGGACCTCCATTAGGAGTGCTTGTCTGCTGCAATCACCCCCTTCCTTGCCATTAGGCAGCTTTTGGAGTGTGCAGCCTCTAGGGCTTCGGAGTGATCGGCTGGCTGAGACATGTTCCACTGACCCCTCCATCTCTCTGTCTGTTCCCTTTTCAGAGTTTTCAGGGCATGAAAGTCCTGAGTAAGCTGCACGGGGTCTTTTATCTCATGACTTGGCTTCTGATAGAAGTGTAGCACAGCAGAAAGTAACCCATATAACCCTTTTAGGCTCTAGAAATCCTTGTACCTGTTTTCAGCTTGTGGCAGAGGGGAAAGTGTATTTTGAAAGAAAAATAAAAACAAAACCTATTTAGTATATCTCTGGAATGCATGCAGTTTTTTGCCTTGTTTTTTTTTTTTTCTATTCTTATTATATTACAGGATTTATATAGTGCCCACAGTTTGCGCATCATTTTACGACATGAGGGCAGACAGTATAGTTTCAATACGGGAGGAATCCGAGGGCTCACTAGAGCTTACAATCTAAAAGGGAGTGTCGTGATACAAAAGGTAATAACTGTGGAGGATGAGATGATGGAGAAAATGGAAATGCAGTGGAGGCGTCTTTTCTGAAGAGAAGGGTTTTTATGGATCACCTAAAGGTGGACATAGTAGGAGATAGCCAGACAGATTGGGGTAGGGAGTTCCATAGGATGGGAGAGGCGAGCATGGGATGAGGTGACAAGGGAGCCAGAGAGCAGGAGGTCTTGGGTGGAGCAAAGCGAACTAGTTGGTTGATATTTGGAGACCAGGTTGGTGATGTAGCTGGGGGCAGAGTTGTGGATGGCTTTGTAAGTTATTGTTAGTATTTTTAATTAATTCATGGGGTGAGTGGCAGTCAGTGGAGGGGTTGGCAGGGCGGGATAGCAGACACTGAACGGTTGGTGAGTCTGACAGCAGCATTCATGATGGACTGAAGGGGGGGTTAGCCTATGTAAAGGTATTCCAATGAGGAGGTAATTGCCGTTATCGAGACAGGAGATGACCAGGGATTGAATTAGCTTTGTGGTGTCATTGGTTAAGAGGTGTATTTTTTACATGTTTCAGAGGTTGAAGCTGCAAGCTTTAAACAGTAGTTGAATGTGGAGCCGAAAGGAGAGTTCAGAGTCCAGGATAACACCTAGCACCCCAGCATGGGGGGATAGGTTGATGATTGTGCCATCGACCTTGATGGAGAAGTCACGGGAAAGGAAACATGGGGGAGGAAATAGGAGCTCGGTTTTGGATAGACTGAATTTGAGGAAGTGATGTGACATCCAGACTGATCCCTTTAAACACGCGGCATGTACAGAGGAATAACTGTTAACCTGCTAGGAATATAGTGTGCTTCTGCATTCCTCTTTGACATGACAACACATCTATAACCGCTTTTACACATGGTGTCAGCCCTGCCTACCTAATTTCTGATGTATTACAAAGATCATAGACCATTCGCTCATCTTCTCTTGTGCACAGGCGGAAAGCACAAGTAGTTATTAGTTCACAAAGTTTCTGTCAAAAATCAACAGGTATTTTCATGCTACTAAATATATAACAAAACACTTTCAGTGATATATCTGGCCACCCAGGGGGAAGCCAAGAAGAGAAGTTATTTGTTAGGGTTTGAATCTACTAGTAGGATAAATAAATACAAAAAATGACTGAAGCACAAGTAGTAAAATATATTGATCTCTTCTTTTTCACAAATCTGTGTGTTAATTTGCAAAGCCTACCCTGAATCCTGACATCTGAATCGTAAGCGCATTCCCTTTGGTGAATGATGCTGAAACACAATGAACAAAACACCGCTGTGACATTTGTGCCGGGTGTGCTGGTTGAAACGACAGCACAATGTAGTGATGTCACTGATTCATGGGATCTAGCACATCTTCGCCCCAAGCTTTTCATCACTAGCACTGCCTGATTCCACTCAGCACTACCCAGCCCTATGCAATGTTATGCAAACTAACCTTTAGGACTCAGGTTCTGGGAACTTGTAGGACAACTGTTTAAACTTTTTGAGAATATTTTTCATATTTATGAAGATATGCAGTTCTTTAGGACACGTGGTTAAGTACTTCTGAATGCTGCCGAGAGTTTGCAAAGGTTACTTAGCATGGAATATAAGACCATACATGCATAAATCTAATGGAATTTTCCCTGCCCTTGCCTCCCCTGCTATTGTATTCAGACATTTGCCGAACCTACAACAGTAACTGCATCTGATAGAAAACAATTGCTGCTCGGCAGACAATTGTTCACCCGGCTCTTTCGTGTTTTCAAATGACGTTTGTCAAACCAGGTTGGGCAACAGGACTACCCACAACCTAAATTTCATCCAATACTGAAGAAACTGGCTGTAATTTGTGCTGTGTATAGCTTGGATTAGAACCTTTTTAGTCGTACATTAAGTCAGCCATAAACATTAATGAAGCAGTCAGGCCTTCATACATGATGCCAACATTTTTGTTTTCCACACCATGCAGTTCCTCTTTTTAGGTCTCATGTATATTTTCTTTTTAAAGTAAATTTAAATCCAGTCGCCAAAATCTCATGTAAGCTGTAAGATATTATGATTTCAAAAGTAATTTTCAAGCAATTCAGATCTGCAGCTTTCATTAAAATACCTGGTAAATCTGAGAATAAAATGTGATCTGCTATAGTGCAGAGTGGTTCACCTGCCTCCTTGGGTTTGTCTTAACTAGAACAACAAATTTCATGGTGGATGATCAGTTCTCATGGCACCCTGAGTGAAAGAACAACAACATTTATATGGCAGTATTATTCATTTTAAATTTCCCTCATACTTCTACAAATGTAAAATGGAGCTGTTGGATCTATTCAGTTGAAGTGAGTGTTGTGCTTTTTCGATAGGTGCCGTGATTGGAGATGGACAGTCTGCTGTGGCCAGTAATATTGCAAACACAACCTACAGACTGCAGTGGTGGGACTTCACTAAATATGATTTACCAGAGATCAGTAATGGTAAGTGGCTTTTGCAGTGACTGTCAGACCCTTTTTTAAATTATTTTTTTTTCCCCTACTTTATTGCCCATACTGCTACAGTGTCTAAATGGTTAGCACTTCCGCCTGGCAGTAGTAGGGTCCTTGCTTTAAATCCCAACCACGGCACCACCTGCCTGGAGTTTGCATGTTCTCCCTGTGTCTGTGTGGGTTTCCTCCGGGTACTCCGGTTCGTTCCTACACTCCAAAGACATGCTGGTAGGTTAATTGGTTCATATCTAAATTGGCCGTAGTATGTGTATGTATGAATGAATGTGAGTTAGGGACCTTGGATTGCACCCTCCTTCGGGACTGATGTGAATGTACTCTATCAATATATAGTGTCTATGTAAAAGTGCTGCGTAAGTTGACAGCGCTACATAAGTACCTGCAATAAAACAAATAATAGAATTGCTTTTTGCCCATTTCTGCAGCTACGGCTAATGTGCTTGTTCAGAACTGCAAGATCTATAACGATGCCAGTTGTGACATCTCTGCTGATGGGCAGCTACTTGCAGCCTTCATCCCAAGCAGCCAGCGAGGATTCCCTGACGAAGGCATATTAGCTGTCTATTCCTTGGCTCCGCACAACCTGGGTGAAATCCTCTTCACCAAGCGTTTTGGTAAGATGTCATCTGGAACTTGACATATCTTTTTTTTTTTTTTTTTTTTTTGTACTCTGATCATAGTGTTGAACAGTGATGAAAGCGTTTTTTAATCCCAGTAGCATCCAGATTCCTCCTTTTCATTTTCTGTCCTGCACTGCATTGCTTTCTCTTCATATCTACTGCTGGAACCTATAGGAGCAGACTTTTCTGACACTTGTGGTCCAAGGTTTCCAATGCAGTTCAGACTTTTTCATCCTTTTTGATTAGAGACCTCATGGATGGAACAGAAAATAGTGTCTGTTTTTGCTGTTGATGCTAATTATGCAGAATTGTAGTGTCCAACTTCCTTCCCTTAATTAAGGTTTACAACTGTTGTTTTATAAGCATCTGTGTCTTCACTGGGGAGACTTTCCCTCACCACCCCTCTCCATGGCGGTTGTCACTAAGACACAAGGTGAAAGGAAATCCCGATGTTGACATTTTTCAGTAGTAAAAAAAAAAAATTCCAAAACTTGATGAAGCACCTGCCCCAGTGATAGCTCTCAAATGTAAGATTTCCCCTTAATTTGAATAGATTTCCTGTCATGTCATTGGTAAATGAAATGAGGGTAAATGTCTCCAGAAGGATGTGTTTGAGTCCATCTCACACATGTATTTCAAAAGCAAATCTTACAAAATAACGCATATCCAATGGTGGTATTGTCCAAACATCTGATAAAGGGAAATTTAACACTCAATTTCCATTGACTCTAAGGGTGCATTTCCACTTGTGAATGCACCCTGCCTGCAATAATATGCAAGAACCCCACTGGGGCTTCCAACAATTAGCTGCGAGAGGCAGCCCTATTGAAATTAATGGAAGGTTGCTCGCTCCTGCAGCCAATCACACCCATCTCTCATGCAACAATCATATGCAGCTGATCAGAGCAACTGATCACTCGCGTTTCATTGCCGCATTAGAGGTTGCATGCAAGTGGGCATGACTAGCTGCAGCAGCCTTCCATTGCTTTCGTTAGAGATGCCTCTTTCAGCAAATCACTGGAACCCGCACTGGGGTTCTCTCATATATTCGCAGGTCGGGTGCGTTTTCAAGTGTGAGTGCACCCTAATCAGTGCAACCTGATGTTTGGAGGACATGCAAGTCCTTTTTTACAAAGGTTATTACTTTGATGAAATACTTGATTATCCTTGAAACCATAGTTTTCCATACACTAGTAAACCGAAGTTGTGTAAGGAGTGCTGGCATTCTCTTGACCTGATCTCTCGGGAACAGACTGCAAAGAGAATCGGAAATCTTGAAAATCTAACATTTCATTAGATGTTTGACTACATCATCTCTGTGCAGGTCCCAATGCCATCTCTGTAAGTTTGTCCCCGATGGGCCGGTATGTGATGGTTGGCCTGGCCTCACGCAGAATCCTGCTGCATCCTTCCACAGAACACATGGTGGCTCAGGTCTTCCGGCTGCAAAAACCACACGGAGGAGAGACGTCTATGAGGGTGAGTTCTTGTGTTCCTTTCCAATTTGCATTTTCTTTAGTGAATGTGTCATGGCTCTGTTTATTGTTGATGATCAATGATAGATAGCAGGTAAAATAAAACCGTGAACTGTTGAAGAGGAGCATGGAGGCTGCCTTACTGACCTCTCCTGAAGATGCTGTCATGCTAACTCACACAAGCACAGGGAGAACATGGCACCACCTGCCTGGAGTTTGCCTGTTCTCCCTGTACTTGCGTGAGTTTCCTCCGGTTTCCTTCCACACTCCAAAGACATGCTGTCCTATTGGAAGGTTATCGGTTACTACCAGTAACCACGGTTAAGAGGGTGAAGGAATATTGGCCATCAGGACCATATTGCATACTGGGATAGTCCCAAAAGCGAATGTTACTTACCTAGAGATAGGTGGTCATGAAATGATGGCGAGTTAACATCTACAGTCAGGTCCATAAATATTGGGACGTCAACACAATTCTAACATTTTTGGCTCTATACACCACCACAATGGATTTGAAATGAAACGAACAAGATGTGCTTTAACTGCAGACTGTAAGCTTTAATTTCAGGGTATTTACATCCAAATCAGGTGAACGGTGTAGGAGTTACAACAGTTTGCATATGTGCCTCCCTACTTGTTAAGGGACCAAAAGTAATGGGACAGTTGGCTTCTCTTAGCTGTTCAATGGCCAGATGTGTGTTATTCCCTCATATTATCCCAATTACAATGAGCAGATATAAAGTCCAGAGTTCATTTCAAGTGTGCTATTTGCATTTAGAATCTGTTGCAGTCAACTCTCAAGATGAGATCCAAAGAGCTGTCACTATCAGTGAAGCAAGCCATCATTAGGCTGAAAAAACAAAACAAACCCATCAGAGAGATAGCAAAAACATTAGGCGTGGCCAAAACAACTGTTTGGAACATTCTTAAAAAGAAGGAACGCACCAGTGAGCTCAGCAACACCAAAAGACCCGGAAGAACACGGAAAACAACTGTGGTGGATGACCGAAGAATTCTTTCCCTGGTGAAGAAAAACACCTTCATAACAGTTGGCCAGATCAAGAACACTCTCCAGGAGGTAGGTGTATGTGTGTCAAATTCAACAATCAAGAGAAGACTTCACCAGAGTGAATACAGAGGGATTCACCACAAGATGTAAACCATTGGTGAGCCTCAAAAACAGGAAGGTCAGATTAGAGTTTGCCAAACGACATCTAAAAAAGCCTTCACAGTTCTGGAACAACATCCTATGGACAGATGAGACCGAGATCAACTTGTACCAGAGTGATGGGAAGAGAAGAGTATGGAGAAGGAAAGGAACTGCTCATGATCCTAAGCATACCACCTCATCAGTGAAGCATGGTGGTGGTAGTGTCATGGCGTGGGCATGTATGGCTGCCAATGGAACTGCTTCTCTTGTATTTATTGATGATGTGACTGCTGACAAAAGCAGCAGGATGAATTGTGAAGTGTTTTGGGCAATATTATCTGCTCATATTCAGGCAAATGATCAGAACTCATTGGACGCCGCTTCACAGTGCAGATGGACAATGACCCAAAGCATACTGCAAAAGCAAACAAAGAGTATTTTAAGGGAAAGAAGTGGAATGTTATGCAATGGCCAAGTCAATCACCTGACCTGAATCCGATTGAGCATGCATTTCACTTGCTGAAGACAAAACTGAAGGGAAAATGCCCCAAGAACAAGCAGGAACTGAAGACAGTTGCAGTAGAGGCCTGGCAGAGCATCACCAGGGATGAAACCCAGCGTCTGGTGATGTCTATGCGTTCCAGACTTCAGGCTGTAATTGACTGCAAAGGATTTGCAACCATTAAAAGTGAAAGTTTGATTTATGATTATTATTCTGTCCCATTACTTTTGGTCCCTTAACAAGTGTGAGGCACATATGCAGACTGTTGTAATTCCTACACCGTTCACCTGATTTGTATGTAAATGCCCTCAAATTAAAGCTGACAGTCTGCAGTTAATGCACATCTTGTTTCGTTTCATTTCAAATCCATTGTGGTGGTGTATAGAGCCAAAAATGTTAGAATTGTGTCGATGTCCCAATATTTATGGACCTGACTGTATGTGGGGCTCCAGTGTGAACACAGTGAAGCACTTGTGATTTCAGTATGGAGGTTCACCATTAAAGACACAGCACCATTGCAGTAAATATTCACGTTGGGACTGAATACTATTATTGTATTTGAATTTTGTTCATTTTTATCACTTTAATTTGCACATTGGATTTAGTCCATTTGTGACCTTAGCACGGTCCATTTGAAATATTTAGGATTTTGTGTATAGGAGTTCACAGTTAGGACTGCTGCTCTATCTATCTATATATATATATATATATATATATATATATATATATATATATATATAATAATTTTTTTTCCCAAGCGCAACAGCACCCCCTTTCTTTTAATATAATGCTAACTCTCTGGCTTCAATTACTATACAGTATTTATAAAGCACCAGCAGTTTGCTCAGCGCTGTACATTACAAAGGGAGACAGAACATGGGACAGTACAATAACAATACAATGTGATACACGAGGTGTTCGAGGGCCCTGCTCCAATCCTCTGAGTCACTGGCCTGTATTATACAGATGATTCAGTAGGTTTTGAAACCAGAGAGAGCCAGTCCACTATCATTTTCAGGCACTGTAGGAATACTTGTCTCAAAAATATGAGTAATGAAAAACAGGGAGAGAGAGAGAGAGAAATATATATGTCAGAGGAAAGGCAGCAGTAGTATAGTTGTTCAAAAAGAGAGAGAGAGAAATTATTGTTTTAGGAGAAATAGGTAAAAATGAGAACTCGTATCTGGTGAGACTGCAGGATACCACAGGAGTGGTGTACACAACCTTAACACATCACATGTGGAGAATGCATCTAGTAGTCAGCAATGTTATGTCTCCATTTGCGAGGTTCACCCCTCTATTTGTACTGGTAACCATTATCACAGAGGCGGTCCAAAATTTTAGAGGTGAGCGGAAATCTTCCAATGGGGACACTTGTCTAAGAGAAGGATTGCTCTTACTTTGGGGGTTCCCACTAACTTACTTTTGCATCTCTGGCGCAATAAATTAAAATTTTGCAAATGGTACATAATTGTCAAAAACCCTTCTCTACCATATTCAAGTTCAAACAAAAATGTTTTGACTCTAATACATTTTAATACTTTAAAAAAAAAAAAAAAAAAGATTTTCAGTTTTAGTCTGTTTGCTGTGAGGACAGTGTTACTAATGCTGCATACGATTCCGGCTGCGTCAGGTTTATTTTTTATGTAATGCGGAGTCTCAGATTTTCTTGTTTTCTTTGTAGCGTATGATCATCCAGGGCTTCGCACACTTTCAATCACCACTTTCAGCCTGTTCATACTGGCTGGATTTAAATACACTGTCTTCGCGCCCTGCTGCCTGTTAGTAAATGTGAGATTCCCCAAAGCCCATTAGCTTGTGCATAACCGTGATGTTTTCAGACCTCCGCTGAGATGCCAGAAATAACTTGGCATGCAGGCGGGTAGTCCAGTAACTCAGCAAACGCTGGCTGGCTGGCTGTGCCTCTGTAGGAATCTGAATACATGCCAAGCCTCCCTCCCTCTTCTAGTTTCAGTGAATCCGTTTCCTGATTTTGATCCATCCCTGACACCAAGGCCTCAGTATCCGCCCTCTACCCTCCTCACAGATGCCAAGCACAGAGCTTACAGAAAAGTCCATAGCCCCGCGCTTCCACAGACCTAAAAAAAAGGCACCAGTATTCCCCAGCATTTGTCAGCGCCCATCATGTAGCCCTCTTCCTGGAGTCTTTGGAAAAAAATGACTGTGTTGTGCCATGATATTCTCCTCTCTAGCTCCCTCATCTCCTCCTCTCTAGCTCCCTCTTCACCTCCTCCCACGCTTGCCTCCAGGACTTCTCCAGAGCCTCTCCCATCCTCTGGAACTCCCTACCGCAGCATGTCCGATCACCCTGTCTGCCATTAGGCGATCTTTGAAAACTCACTTCTTCAGGGAAGCCTACCCCACCTCCACCTAGAACTGTACTTGAATCGCCTCCACCAGACCATCCCCCGCAGCTATCACCTTTTGTATCACCTCCCCCTTCCTTTAGATTGTAAGCTCCACGAGCCGGGCCCTCCTATTCCTTCTGTACTGAAATGTATTGTAATTGTACTGTCTCCCTTATATTGTAAAGCGCTGAGCAAACTGTTGGCGCTATATAAATCCTGTATAATAAGCCATCTGCCAGATAGTGTTGCCAGTCTATTGCTCCCATGATGTCTTTGGCAGGTGTTTTTTGGCTTTCCTTTTTTTTTTTTTTTTTTTTTTTTGGGACATTTTTGTCTATCATGGGATATGCCATTATTTGTTTGGCGTGAGATTTATTTTCAGGCATGTTTTAAGGGATTCTATCCAGTTTTTTTTCTTTTCAGGCCCAAACTTGGAGCCCCCTAAAAAGGATCACTGATCCCTTCTACATTACTGCCGGTAGCATTTAAAATGCGTTTATGAATATTTAAACTCTTTGCCCATGACATGTAGGTTGTCGTTGTCATTGTCCGCAAAAGGGTTAAAGGAAACTATCATGTTTTGAGTCAGTTTTATTTTAATTGTTCAGTCTTTAAACTGTTTTATATATATTTTTGGGGATAAATTGTACACACAGTGCAGTGCTTTACAATACTGTACATTCACACAAGTCTCTGCCCTGCAAGAAATTTACAATCTAAGGTCCTATCACACATATATACATGCACACACATACTAGGGCCATATTGGACAGAAACCAATGAACCTACCAGTACATTTTTGGAATATGGGAGATAACCAGACTGCCCATAGGAAACCCACACAAGTACAAGTCCATGCAGATGGTGACCTGGCTGGGATTCTGAGTATCTCAGTGCAGCAAGGCTGAATTTCAAACAACTAAGCCTCTGTACTGCCTGCATATAAGCATTCAATATGACACGGAATTCCCAAAGCACAATGG